AAGAGAAGTTAAAAAAAAAAAAGAAAAGAAAAGAAAAAAAGAAAATGCAAAAAGAAAAAAAAAAGAGGAAAAAAAAAAGGTGAGGTCAGAGAGATCAGAAGTTTGTGGTTGAACTTCTTATATAGAGTTGAATCAGTGGCCAAATCTTTAAAGAGAAAGGAATCCTACTACAATAAGGAGTAGAGATTGTATTTGAATTTTGGTCAAATCAAAAGTTTGAGATTTGTTTGAATTCTGGTCAAATTAGGAGATAGTAGTTTTATTTGTTTATTCTTCCTAAGTTGGGAATCTTACTGTCTTACGGATTTGTCAATCCAATTCCTACTAGGAATAGTCAAATCAATCTGTCTTTCTTGCTTTTTTTTATTGTTTCCTTCCATTGTTCTAATATCCAGGAGTCCTACTATGACTTTACCCTAAAGTGCAAAAATTTTTTTTTTTGTCCATTTCGTGTTTTCCGTGAATTCCAAAATCTGGTCAGTGCGTGTTCATTGTAGTCATCCTTTTAAAACTCGAAGTTTGGTTGGTAAGTTTCTGGTGAATTACTACTGGGAATTTTGAATATTGTTTGATTAGTTTGAAAAGAACTGAAAGAGAATTCATGAGAGGGAAAAAGGCAAGAGTGGTAAGCATATTAGAGGGTAAAAGCCAATTCAGTGAAACACGAGTGAAATTGAGTGATACATATATATATATATATATATATTTTTTTTTTGAGAGTGAAACACGTGAGGGAGTGTGGTGAGGTCCTTTCCATATTGTTTGTAGCCCCATTTTGTAGATTACAAGCATGTCACGCAACCAAGAAGAAAACTCGAGTGAAGAACTTCCACAACAAACCTTTCCAAACCTACAAGTGCAAGCGATATTGGGAGAGGTGTGACGGATGGTGAATCGGATAATTAAACCCGTGCAAGAGCAATTAGAAATGTTGCAATTGGAGAATAAGAGGCAGCAACGAAATTCTCCCACTCACCACCACCTGGGCAGATGCAACAAAGAGAACATTAGGGTGACGTAGAAGGAGAAGAGGAGTTGGAAGAGTTGAATGAGCCACCATTGAACCGGGGTAGGTTTAGGCATGGGAATGGGAATAGAGAAGTTAGGAATCGGGAGGACAATAGTTTGGGCAGCATCAAGATGAAGATTCCGCCATTCTAGGGAAAAGCAGATCCGAAAGCCTATCTTGAGTGGGAAAGGAAGGTGGAGTTTGGTGGGATCAGTTGGTGATGAATAGATGTCGGAACCGGGAACATCCAATTGAAACATGGGAAGAGATGAAGGCAGTGATGAGGAAGCGATTTGTGACCAGCCATTATTACCGGGAATTGTACAAAATGTTGCAAGGGCTTAGGCAAGGACATCAGAGTGTGGAGGAGTATTATCAAGAGATGGAGAAAGCCATGATTAGAGCCAATGTAGAAGAAGACCGGGCAGCAACCATGGCGAGATTCTTGCAAGGATTAAATCTAGACATCCATGACCAAGTGGAGATGCAACATTATGTGGAGCTAGAAGACATGGTGCACATGGCCATCATCATAGAGCAACAGCTCAAGAAGAGGGGAAGTACACGTGCTGGCTATAACCCAGGGTCTAATCATTGGAAACCAAGTTCTTGCAGAAAGGAGGACAAGACACAAACGTCCTCAACTCTCAAGCACCAATCTGAGCATAAGACTGAGAAAACCAGCTGCAAATCTCAAGGTAAAACTGACACTTCTACTACTCGAAATCGTGATATGAAATGCTTTAGATGTCAAGGTAGGGGTCACACAGCGAGTCAATGTCTAAACAAGCGGGTTATGGTGATGCAAGACAATGGTGAAATTGTGATTGAAGATGAAGATTCTGACACCGATGAAATGCCACCATTGGAGGATGCCTATGAGGAGGAGTTTGCTATACATGGAGATTTGTTGGTGGCGAGGAAGGCTTTAAGTGTGCAAGCAAAGGACATGGATGAAGTGCAACGAGAGAACATCTTTCACACTAGGTGCTATGTCAAAGATAAGGTATGCAGTGTGATTATTGATGGTGGTAGTTGTACTAACGTTGCTAGCACAACCATGGTGAAAAAATTAAGATTGCCTATGCTGAGACACCCTAGTCCGTACAAGTTGCAATGGTTGAATGATAGCAGTGAGGTAAAGGTAAACAAACAGGTGTTAATTGCATTTGGAATCGAAAAATACAAAGATGAGGTACTTTGTGATGTCATTCTAATGCATGATGGGCACTTGTTGTTAGGACGACCATGGCAGTTTGATCGACGAGTCAAGCATGATGAGTTTACCAACAAATACTCTTTTGTACTCAATCAGCGTCCAATCACTCTTGTACCTTTGACACCCCAACAGGTGTATAAGGATCAAGTGAGGCTTAAAAAAGAGAGATATCAAAAAGAAGAGAATGAGCAAAAAAGAGAGAGTGAGAGAAAAGATAGAAGTGGAATTCGAGAGAAAAACAGAGAGAGGCCAAAAAAATTGAGAGAGAAAAAAAGAAAGCAAATTCAGCTTTAGTGAGTTTAAGAAAGGAACGACATTGTTTCATTGCAAAAAAAAGTGAGAGCAAGAGAGCTTTACATTTACAACAGCCCTTTATAGTACTTCTGTACAAAGAAGCATTTTTGTGCAGTGATGATCTTATCGGAAATTTGCTGAGTAGTGTTATCTCTCTTTTGCAGGATTACGAAGATGTATTTCCTGAAGAAACACCACCTGGATTACCTCCAATACGAGGGATTGAACATCAAATTGATTTTGTACCTGGTGCGACAATTCCAAACCAACCAGCCTATAGGACCAACCCTGATGGGAATCAAGATGACCCCATATGTATCACGTCAAGAGATCCACTACATATTCCAAGAGGTCCAGTCACGAGAGCTAGAGCTAAGAAGATGCGAGAAGCTTTAAATGGCCTTATTGAGCAGATCTGGGTTGATAACAACATGCACAAGTAAATCAAAGCTTGGATGATTGTCAAGGCATGATAAACATTATTCAGGTTGAAGAGAAGCTTAATTGAGGTCATTTGTGTTAAATTACACAGTTTGCGTCAATCTCGCAATTCTGTCGCAATTTGTAACAAACTGATATTTCATGTTACTGTAGGTTACTTTTAGTGATTTTCATGTCTTTTTATATTATTTTGGGCTGAACATTCATTTATTTAAGGCCCAATTCGTGGTTATTAGGTTTAGGACTTAGGGTGTTAGTTTCCTATTCTGATTAGGATTTGTTTTCTCTATTTAAAAGGCTTGTAACCCTAATGGGGAGGAGGGTATTGAATCTGAGATTTTTGAGAGACTTTTCTCTTTGGTTCGTTTCAGAACTTTACAGAACTTATCAAGATTATTCTTGTGGCGTTCTAACCTGACTTATCATTTTCGTTCTTAATCGTTCGAGGGTGTGGCGTCAACCAACTCTGGTTCTTGTTGCGTCATAGACAACGGGTCAAGGTTTTTACCTTTGGTTCTTGTTGCGACATAAACAACGGGTCAAGGTCCTATTATAAACCTGATTTAGCTTTCCTGGAGTTTAGAAATCCCTTGTCGTGCTGTGGGTCTCATTGTTCTCTTTGGGGTTCTCATCAAACCCTAAGGAGACAAAGGAGCTTCAGAGGCAGGTAAGTGAATTAATTGAGAAGGGATACGTGAGGGAAAGCATGAGCCCATGTGTTGTTTCTGTTCTACTTGTGCCTAAGAAGGATGGGACTTGGAGGATGTGCGTTGATTGTCGAGCCATCAACAGCATTACGGTAAAGTATCGACATCCTATTCCTCACTTAGATGACATGTTAGATGAGTTGCATGGTGCTTGTGTATTTTCAAAAATTGATTTGAAAAGTGGGTATCATCAAATTGGCATTAAAGAGGGAGATGAATGGAAAACAGCCTTTAAGACAAAACATGGATTGTATGAGTGGTTAGTCATGCCCTTTGGTTTAACTAATGCACCAAGCACATTTATGAGATTGATGAATCGTATTTTTCATGCATCCATAGGCAGGTTTGTTGTTGTTTATTTTGATTATATTCTCATTTATAGCAAAAACTTGGAAGAACATGTTGTGCATTTAAAATCAGTTTTGGGATGTGCTTAGAAAGGAAAAGTTATTTGCTAACTTGAAGAAATGCACTTTTTGCACTGATAGGCTCGTATTTCTTGGTTTTGTTGTTAGTGCACAAGGAATACATGTTGATGAAGAAAAAGTCCGAGCAATTCAAGAATGGCTAAGTCCCACAAGTCTGAAGTACAGAGCTTTCATGGACTTGTCAGTTTCTACCGATGGTTTGTGAAGGACTTTAGCACTTTGGCAGCACCACTCACCGAAGTAATCAAGAAGAACGTTGGATTCAAGTGGGGCGAAGAGCAAGAAAAGGCATTTCAGCTAATCAAGCAAAAATTGACTAACGCTTCATTATTGTCTTTACCTAATTTTGATAAAACGTTTGAGATTGAATGTGATGCTTCAGGTGTAGGTATTGGTGCAGTACTTATGCAAGAGGGTCGACCAATTGCATATTTTAGTGAAAAGCTAAGTGGGGCAGCTCTAAACTACCCAACTTATGACAAGGAGTTATATGCATTGGTTCGGGCATTAAAAACATGGCAGCATTATCTTTGGCCCAAGGAGTTTGTAATGCACACTAATCACGAATCATTGAAGCACTTGAAAGGTCAACACAAATTAAACAAAAGGCATGCATGATGGATGGAGTTCATCAAGATGTTTCTATATGTCATCCGGTATAAGAAAGGTAAGGAGAATGTGGTTGTTGATGCACTTCTAGCAGGTATGCATTAATCTCTACCCTTGATGCAAAATTACTTGGTTTTGAGCACATTAAAGAACTATATCATTTAGACCAAGATTTTTGTGAGGAGTTTCGAGCTTGTGAGAAAAATGCAATTGGTAAGTTTTATAGGCATGATGGATTCTTGTTTTGGGAAAATAAGTTATGTGTGTTGAATTGTTCTTTGCGTGATTTGCTAGTTAGGGAATCCCACAGCGAAGGGTTAATGGGACATTTTGGGGTTGCTAAGACCTTAGCTATTTTGCAGGAACACTTCTTTTGGCCACACATGAAAAGAGATGTTGAGAGGTTTTGTGGTAGATGTGTCACATACAGGCAAGCAAAATCCCGAGTGTAACCTCATGATGGCAAAAAGAAAGCTGATTTTGTGAGGTAGATTCACAAGAAGGCGAGACTCAACATTGAGCGAAGAACAGAGTAATATGCAAAGCAAGCCAACAAGGGGCATTCTAAGCTGGTCTTCGAACCTAGAGATTGAGTTTGGTTGCACATGAGGAAAGAAAGATTCCCAGCATAAAGGCGTTCCAAATTGCTTCCAAGAGGAGATGGTCCTTTCCAAGTCTTAGAGCGCATCAACGATAATGCTTACAAACTAGATTTACCAGGTGAGTACAATGTTAGTACCACTTTCAATGTTACTGATTTGAGTCCTTTTGATGCATTGGATGATTTGAGGACAAATCCTTTTCAAGGGAAGGGGAATGATGTAAATCCAGGTTTGACTTTAAAGGATTCAATTCAAGTTCCTGTTAGATTGGTTACGAGGGCTCGAGCTAAAAAGTTCAAGGAAGCACTTAACAGGTTGATTTGAGAAATATGGACTCAAGCAAATTCATGGAGGCCCATTGAAGGAAGTCCATGTGAGCCTCAGAATTACATCAGCCTAATTCAAGTTCTAGAAGACTCTTTCAAAGCCAAACCTATTTGCAAGTAATGGTCATGAACTTTGGGCATGAACTCAGCAATCATTCTGGCTCAAATTTATTACTTTCCTTTTTGGGTTTTGGCTTGCATGCCAAGTTTTTTCTTCTTGGGTTGAATTACACAGTTTGCGTCAAATCTGCCGCAATTGGCCGCAAACTAATATTTCACAATGTTCTTTGGTTAGTTTAGCTTATTTTTATGTTTGTTGTGTTATTTGGGCTAAACATTCATTTAGTTGAAGCCCTAATTTATGGTTATTAGGGTTAGGACCTGGTTTGTTAGTTTCCTATTCTGGTTAGGATTAGTTTTAGCTATTTATAGGGCTGCAACTCTAATTGTAAAACAGATCATTATTCATCAACATTGTGAGAACGAATTCTCTCTGGTTCTTTGAACAACTTTTCGAACTTATCGGAATTATCTGTGGTGTTCATCCTCGACTTATCAATCAACCCTTCCATAGTTTATTGTGGCGTCTTCTCCATACCAAGGTTCTTACCTCATCATAGGTAAAAGGTCATGGTTCCATCCTCTCAAACTTGTCTTAGAAACGATCTTGGTGCCTTGCCTTGTTTACGGGTTTCATCATAGGTTGGCGTAGTTCGTATCAGTTTTGACCTCTAGTTTTTGGTTTGGCCAGTTTTACTAGTTAAATCATTTAAACTATCAATTTGATTAAATATGAATAAATATAATATTTTGCAGCATTTAACAATAAGTTTGCAATGGTTCTATTGGTTTGCTGTCTTATCTACTATCTTGAGGATCAAGGTTCGAGCCTAGTAGATGTAATTTAATAGGCTTTTATTACACATTAAAAACACAATAAATATAATTTTTTGTAATTAATTTATATAAAAAAATTATAAAAATTGACTTTCAATTAATTAATTAATTAAAATTATCTATATAAATGCCAATTTTTATAATTTTTTATAT